AATAAAATATTCTCTACTGTAGCTAGTTAGCTAGTGCTCTTAAAATGAGAGATTAAGACTTTTATTCTTGTTATAGCAATGGCCGTTTTGAGTTACTAGTACCCAATTTAACAGCTAAATTGCATCTTGAGGTCTTCACTCTGCTTTTGAAAGACACCTTGATTTCGGCCACTGCAGTATACAAGTGTGCCTTCCTTCACCATACTCATCTGAAGTTGTAGAAGGTATATGCATGCTAAATGTGTGCAGCATGTCAGGCCTAAATTCTACTTTTCCACCAGTTTTCAGAAGAAGGTGAATTAAATGACACTTTGAGGGGAGAAGTAAGTAGTTTCCAGAAAGGCTTCAACTGCTAATTACAAAGAATAGTAAAAAACTTGAAATTGTGAAAAATAAATTTTTCTTTAAATCTCTTCTAAAGGCGAGTCTCTGTAACCCTTCTCTTCCCTGTGTTCTTTCAGTTAAGAGTGTCAAATCTAGAATTGGGACTGGCATCTGAGTTCTGAGCTGTGATAAGGGAATATAGGTGGAAACATGACAAGTTGTTGACCCAAGCCAAGGAGTTCTGCTTGCAAAACCTGCTGCTTTATCTGTTTAAACTATCCAGTAGTAAATTTTTTACAATATTTAAAAGTTTTGTCTAAAACCTGACCTATTTTTTTGAATGTTAACATGGCACCATAGCTAATATATTACCTTAAAATGGTATGTCAGGGGTGTGAAGGTGGAGGAGAGGCAGATCTCTGTAGAGTTCTTTACTGTGTATACTATATGTCAAACCATATTTGCATTGAACTGAAGGTGAGATTTTTTTTTTAAATGGTGCAGCCCGTTTAACAATCTTGAAAAAGCAGTCTTGCTTTTCATTCAGATCCTGCCCATATAGTTCTGCACTCTCCTTTGTGTTTTTTTGACTGGTGCTTGTACAACCTTTTAGTGAACCAGTGCCATTCAGTGAATGGGTAAAACTGTAAGTAGATGTTGTCACCTTTGCTTTTAAAAGTACATCTACAGCTTCTAATAATGTGTGAAAGCAGGAAGCTGTCTCGGCTAGGATTTTTCCCCTGAGTTGACATAAGGTATATCAGATTAAGAACAAAGTATGTTTTCAAAAGTGTGTGGAGGTCTAAAGAAAAACTTCTCTCCCCTTAAACTTTGAGTTATTTTTCTTCCCCCTCTCCCCATTTATTAGCTGGTCTAATAAGATACACCACTTCTATCTAGAAGCCTTGCTTTGATGAGATGTCAGGCCCTTATTTCATTGCTGTTCCAACATCTTTCTAATCTGCTGACGTAACTGTCTTGTCATGATGCTTTTCACCAAATCAGATCACTAGCTCTTGACTGGGGCTTTCACTCAGTTTGAGTGAAACCCCCTTTTGTAATAGGATAAGAACGCTCTTTGGGATTTAGAAATGAAAGATCAAGGTGCCATTGTCTGCTCTGCTGGTGGAAGTGGCCTCGCCAGCAGACACAGTTATTCCCCTTTTGCTACACCTAGTATGTGAGCAGGAATCAGCAATAGCAGGGTACAGCACAAGAACGGGCAGCATGTACTGAGTGTTGATCAAAGCACTTGATCAGTTGAGTGCTAAACCATATCCATCTTCCTTAGGTTCCTTGGGATCCAGAGGAAAGGTGAGTTTTCTCTTTATTAATAGCGAAGAATAATAGAGCAGTGCTGATTGTGGCAGCACAAAACAGTATGGTAAAGAACATTCCTGTGTGTGGCTTTGTGTATTGTTTGGGGAAATAATAAAATCTGGTAAATAAGCACTATAATAAAATAATCTCTGATTCTCCTTTACTAATTTTTCAAAGATAGCTGTGCTTAAAGACCTTGAATTTTGCCTCTGTCAGCCAGATGGCACTATTCTGGAAGCCAAGAATATTCCAAAGTGTACCGTGGTTATTACATTAAATGTGTGAACAAAAATTGTATCTTCAAAGGGAAGAAAGCATTTTAATTTCTTTCCATCTTTCTTCCAGTATTTTTTCTGAATTTGACTGAAAAATACGCAGCTATGGGTCTCCAGTAAAGTGGAAAGTGCGAATACAGGATTGATTTTTACATGTATAAAATGGCTTAAAACTAGTAAGTCAGGTACAAACATCAGCATTCCTTATATATGTGCCCTATAGTCATTTAACTGTTGATCTTTTAAATATTTCAAAATTATATGTGAGTATTAACTCATCATTTTGGAGTATCTGCTTTGAAGACTTCAGTTTCTAAACGTTGGATTTTGAGTTACACTGAAGGCTAGCAAGCCAACATGTTTAACCTTACTTGCATGTTGGGAGTGTAGGTCACCTATTTAAATTTGGAAGAGATGTTTACAAATAAGACTTTTAACCCTCAAGTTTATGGATCCTTTTTACTACCTTTACCTTTTTGGTAGTATTACCTATGTCAAGCTATAAGTGGCTTCAAAAAATGCAAAATAAAAACTTCATAATGCAAAACCCACAGGGATCCATGTTGTCTGTTCTGGAAACTTCTTTTTACAGACTGAGTGCCAGTAAAAATCCTAATTTTTATTTCATACAGTGTTGTGTGTGTCTTGTATGGCCCTTTTTCTAAGGGCCAATGTGAAATTTTGTGGCATGTTGGGAAGGGCAAGATACTGTTGTTACTGTTCTTATTTTGTTCAGGATTGCATGCAGCTTTTGGATGAATAACTGTGGTAGGTTGAAATACCAGTGAATAATCCAGTTCTTACAAACCAGTCCCATTTTTCCATTGTTCTTTCAGGATTTGTATATTTCAAATGAAGTTACTTTGAAAATTTGTTTAACGTTTCCTATTTTGTCAACATTTTTTACCACTTCCTTCACACTTACCATCCTTTATGCTGTGTTTGGTGCGAGGAGTGAAAAATAATTGTGTTTTATAGCTGACTTGAGACAACCCTGTGCTGATTTAAATGGAGCATTCAAGTTCTGTGTGTTCACATTATCAACATTATTTTAGTTCTTGCTGTGCTGCATCACACTTTCATTTTCTCAAACACCTACAACATGCTGCTATATGGACTCTTCTAAAATACTTCCATGCTGAAATGATACATGAAGGATTTTATTGTGTGTGGGAGTATCAACCAGAATACTAGGATAGATGGAATCACAAAATAGATTTTAGGCAAAAGTTAAAAATCTAGTAAGGACACTGATATCCAAAAGATGACTGCTAATAGAAATGCATGCATTCACATGTTTTATGTGCTTGCAAAAAATGAGTTCTTATCTGTTGTGTAGTGAGAGAGAGATAATGCACCAAAACTTTTTGGCCACTTTCAAACTAAACAGTAGGAAAAAGATGTAAGTAGCTTTACAAAGTTAAAGGTGTACCTCCTAGGTGAAATGACCTCTCTGTCTTATGTGGCTTTTTTATATCCTATATTCCAGAACATTCAGCTTTCTGGCAATAGGTTGCTATCAAAGTACTAACGCACTTACTGAATTTAAACATGTGAATAGTCATGTTGAATTTGCAGGTATATGTGATGCAGTATACCAGCCTCAAAATGCTAAGTACCTACAGGATTGAGGCCCTAGTAAGCATAACAGAAATCAAATAATTGTCTGAGTTAATAGCATACACTTACTACAAATTAGAGCTCTAAAGAAAATTACCATGTAGTGTTTCTGTTCCTCTGTCAGCTAAAGCATATGAAGAATGGGGTGTAACTAGCAAAATGAGTAATTGTTCTAGGGATGAATGTGTGTGATTTACATTATTAAATAAAATTGTAGCCATCATTCAGCTTTAAATGCATGTCAAGTATTTTGAGTAGGCCACAAAAAGCAAGATGCAGTCAGGAAGATAACTTAATGTGGCTCCCTTTGCAAGCTCTTCCAGGACAGAGATGGTGTGCTCTGCTGCTTATTACCACTGCCAGCTGCTTTCCCCTCTTTCCTCATTTCTCTCAGTTCAGCTGTTTGTTTGGTTTTTCTGGGTACAGATCTGTGAAATGCTAGGCTACAGGACCCAAATTGCCACTGAAATTTCCAGAGCATGGAGTTGTAACTGAAGATTTAGAGCACGGCCTTTTCTCTAAGCATATATTGGAATTATTTATTTTGATGCAACATGAAATAGTTCTCAATATTTAAGCTTCCTGTATTGAATGCAGTGAGACTTGTGAAATATTTTCTTCTAGGCAAACTCTTCATAAAGATTTGAACTAAATATTAGCTTTTTACAGTAAGTAGAAACCAACTAAAGAGTTTCATGCCCAGCAGTGCTTCTTTTTCATCTTTTGTTATGCCATTTCATTGGGGAACGAGAAAGTTGTTAAATGTTTTTGATTTTACGCAAATAGGAATTAGAAGGAAACAAGATGACTCTGAGTGTAGTAGAGGTCACTGTTAATTGTTATGTTTGATGGATATTTAAAAGAAGCAAAACACCCCACAATTTGTAATATGATTGGTATAAGGATGTAGTTTTACCTAAATGATTTATTATTTACGATTAGAAGTAGCAAATAATTTTTTAATGCAACACTACTGAAGGAGAAACATATCTAATTCAGTCTCATTGAAATAAGTGACTTTCTTTGTAATTTCTCTACTTCATAGAGTAACATGTAAACAATATTGAGAACAGTTTATGCTAGTCCTTCAAAAAGGAACGTGCTTTGAATACAAATCTCTTTAATCTGTGTTTACCTGTGAAGAAGAGAGTAATGAATTCTTGTCTTCTGAGTGACCACATTATCTTAGCGCTATCTAACATTTTGGTGTGCAAGATGCTATGCATCCTTGAAGTCATGAATTCTGATTCTTTTTTCCTCTAAAACTATAAAAGCTATCAAACAATGGAACTGCTGTATTTTGTACTTCAGTGGAATTGCAAATTCCGTAAGTAATGCTCATAATCAAGAGTGCAGTAATAACCACAGTATGCATCTCAAAAATATTTAACGTTTTGATGGTAATTATGTCTGTTTCCTCAACAGTTATTTAAAAATATATACTATATATTTACAGATATATGGAGTTTAGGGGTCATCCTCTTCATGTTGGTTTGTGGACAACCACCATTTCAAGAAGCAAACGACAGTGAAACTCTGACTATGATAATGGACTGCAAATACACAGTGCCACCTCATGTGTCCAGAGAATGTAAAGAGTAAGTAGAGTACTAAAGAACTTGGAAATATTCATAAAAGTGGATTCTTGTAACTTTTGGGAGTTCACTGTACCATATTATCATTAAGTGTTCAAGAAACGTGTGGATGTGGCGCTTCAGGACATGATCTAGGGGACATGGTGGCGCTGGATTAATGGTTGGACTTGATTATCTTGAAGGTCCTTTCCAACCTAGTGTTTCTGTGATTCTGTGATCAGTGTGTGGAATATTCCTTGCCTGTTAATAAGATACTATGCATGCTGCTTTTGCTTAGTTGTTAGTATTTCTTCACATCAATTGAGTAGTTTCTTGGGCACAAGTATTGCATTTATTTATTTATTGTGTCTCTTCTTACTAAAGGTTAATACCATGATATTTTTTTGCTAATAGGTTTTTCCCCCAATTGTGTGAAATTTAATTTTGAGTTTGCACAATTTATCTTTCTTTTAAGTGTCTCTGTCATGCATTTTATAAATTATTGAAGAAGCTGGTCACCACTGACTGGCTTTGGCCACCACTCTTACTGGACAAATTACAAGGTGTTGCTGAGAGTATTTTGTGGCAGGGATTAAAAAGCGCATGATTCCTATGGATTTCTGTTCAAAATACAAGTTGTCAAAACCCAGGGATATCACAGCAAGTTTTGCTTGTCTCCTGCTGA